AGAATATGCAGTATTTGGTTTTTTGTTCTTGCATTAATTCGCTTCGGATAATGGCCTCCGGTTGCATCCATATTGCTGCAAAGGACACAACTTCATTCTTTTTTATAGCTTCATAGTACTTCATGGTGTATATGTACCACATTTTCTTTATCCAATCCACCGATGATGGACATTTATGTTGATTCCATGACTCCATGACTTTGCTATTGTGAATAGTGCCATAATAAACATAAGAGTATAGGTGTATTCTTGATAAAATAATTTCTTTTCCTTTGGGTATACGCCCGCTAATGGAATTGCTGGGTTGAATGGTAGTTCTATTTTTAGTTATTTGAGGAATCTCCAAAATGTTTTCCATAGGAGTTGAATGAATTTACATTCCCATCAACAGTGTATAAGTGCTCCCTTTTCTCCACATCCTCTCCAACATTTATTTTTTTACTTTTTTTTTTTTTTTTTTTTTTTTTTGAGATGGAGTCTCGCTCTGTCACCAGGCTGGAGTTCAGTGGCACAATCTCGGCTCACTGCAACCTCTGTCTCCTGGGTACAAGCAATTCTCGTGCCTCAGCCTCCCGAGTAGCTGGCATTACAGGCACGTGCCACCACACCCAGCTAATTTTTGTATTTTTAGTATAGACAGGGTTTCATCATTGTTGGCAAGGATAGTCTTGATCTCCTGACCTCGTGATCCACCTACATTGGCCTCACAAAGTGCTGGGATTACAGGCATGAGCCACTGAGCCCAGCCATTTTTTACTTTTTAATTATAGCCATTCTGACTAGTGTGAGATGGTATCTCATTATGGCTTTAATTTGCATTTCTCTGATGATTAGTGATGTTGAGCATTTTTTCTTACATTTGTTGGCTGCTATGTCTTTTTTTGAGAAGTATCTGTTATGTCCTTTGCTCACTTTTTAATGGGGTTATTTGTCTTTTTTCTTGTTGATTTAAGTTCGTTATAATTCTGGATATTAGTCCTTTGTCGGATGCACTTTGCAAATATTTTTTCCCATCCTGTAGGTTGTCTATTTATTCTTTTGGTTGTTTCTTTTGTTGTGCAGGAGTTCTTTTGCTTAATTAAGTCCCATTTGTCAGTTTTTTGTTGCAATTGCTTTGACTGCCATACCACCCTGAATGCACCCGATCTCATTTGATCTCTGGGGGTTTTTATTCAAACCACAGAAGGCCCTTTATCTAGGCACTCAAAGAAAAGACTGGGGATTAACACTCCCTAGGAGAATTTCTCCATCACTAAATATTCCAGTTCCATTGCCTCTTGGGAGGGATAATGATGAATCATGTGTTTTATATCCATCCACAGTTTTCCTGTGGGATAAAGACACGGTCTTCCCCTGGAGTAGTTGGCTTATCACCACACTATTGGCTTCCATCCCTTCCCTAGATCCACTCCCGACTCACCTGCTCTATTCCCTCCCAAGTAAATTATTTGCACCAGAATCTGTTCTCTAAGGAAAATCAAGCCAAGACAGGGCTGAACAGATACAACAGGGGTTTTGGATAAATGTATCTGCTCTCCAAATCCAAACCCTTCTTTAGATGGCCACTGCAATTTCCAGATGTTGAGGAAGTATCTAGAGACTCAAATTCTTGCCCTCAGGCCAAGTTTCCAGCCCTCAACCAACCTTATCAGTAATATAAATAATATTTTTTTTCTCATCTTTCTAACTTGTGTGGCCATTTTTCTTAATTAAATCTGAATTCAGAAGTAGGATGAAAAGGCAAAATTAATGATCACTTCTTAAGACCCCCAAATACTAGAAAACAATATAAGAAAAAAAAATTCTTATTTGTTCCAATTACGTTCAGAAAGTATAATAAAACAGTGAAGAACCTGCCAAGAGATACAGATAAAAGCAGGTGAATTCCCTTGAGTCCTCAGAAATATGAGCTTCTCTTGGCAATGTTCCACAGGCTTCTCTTCTCACTGAAATGAACTTTATCACAGTCTGTATAGATATGACTGACAATAAAACCCCAGTTCCCTGTACAGCCCAGCAAGAGTTCAGAGAACCCCCTCTGCATCCTCTGAGGCAGGTGAGAGGATCTTTTTACAAGTTGAATTGGCCCTAAAAAATTTGCAGACATATGCAGCATAGCTCTTTGCCTCTAGGCCCAATAACCCATGCCTCCTATTAATAAACCTACTAAACCTTCATTAATGTGATTTAAATTTCAATATGAATTTAAGGCCTTGACTAAAACCAAATAAAAGCAACAGTAACTCTTGTAAACTAATTCAAACTACACTCTACTTTCTTCCCACTCATCCAAATTTTTCTGATGCCTTATTCAAGGCAAGTATGCTCCCATTTGAAAATAATCGTTGTCTGTGATTTGAAGTATTCTAAGGGCAGACAATATTTTACATACATGGAGTCCAGTTTCTTAATTTCTATATCCATTGCATAGGACAACTTTGGATATATCATCTTTAAATTACAGGAGAAATTTGTCAGCTGAACTTTTTCCATTTGAAGAGAGATTTATATATTTCAAAATTTAGAATATTATTTACCCTTGAAAATAGGTAATAAAACTTGGATAACTGGAGAATAAAAATAACATTATTGGATATGTACCTAAATGGAAGAGGAGCCTCCCTCTGAATGATGAATTTTCTGTGGTCAACTCCGCACCAACCCCATTCCAAGCACACCTAAGGAAGCCAGGAATAAATTTCCCAGAATACCCTTTCCGTGTGTTTGCAGGATAGTTTTCTCCAATGAGAGGCCCTCAAACAAGAGATTTGGGTGGCAGAAGAGAAGAAGTCATTATTCTCTGAAAGCAGTTGCCAGAACCAGTGTGAGATTCACAGTCAATTCTTGGCACATTCTTTAAAACCATCGCTCTGCTGCTGCAGACAAAAATCTCAGCCACTTCCCAATTAACTCTTAAGAGCACCCACATTCAGTGCTTCAGGCTGAGATCATGGATGATAGTTTCCCTGACTTTGATTTCCCAGCTTTCCCAACAGTTTTCTAAGTCTCCAATTCCTCTGTGTATACACTTTTAAACCAGAAAATAACAAATAACGTATTTCTGACTGATTCCAGATGGATACACAGTGTTTTCTCTGCCTAGGTTCTAAGCCATTACAGGTACCTGGTAGCTTACTGATAAGAAATTTGCTTTGAGTTTGCAATGGTTTACTTGATCCCTAAACATCTAGTATGACAATAAGACCTTCAATCCAATAAGCACATATTTTACCATACAATATTAAACATGTAAACATGCATTATTTCCTTCTATAAGTGCTTACTGAAAACCCTAGCATAGGCTTCCAACAGGTCAGTTTCGGAAAGAATCAAGTTGAAGCTGTAGCATTTTTCACTTTGAATTGAATGAAAATGACTTAGTTGGATTTATGTATCATATTTCTTCAAATAAGAGATTTATAAAATCAAATTCAACTCTCACATAAGAAAATATATGAAAATCATTTCATTAGAACTTGAAATCGTTTAAAAAAATGAAAATCATTGCACTTGTAAACTCACAGTTCCTGTCATAAAGTTAAAATGAGTCATTCATAAAGCTATTATTCAAAATAAATGTAAAAATTGCAATTCAGAAAAATGTGTCATATATTGTAACATTTAGGTTACAAACTTAATGAAGAAAAATGCCAACTCAGAGTTTATACTCAAAAAAATAAATGGTAGGAGACCATTGGACCATAAGTTTCCAGAGGTCAAAAGTTAAGGTTATTGAACTTGCTTAATGCAGCACCCGAATAATCTCGGATATATACACGTTTAATTGCTCCTGTTCAAAATATTTAATTTCCACAACAATATAGATCCAGAGGATTACATTATGAGAAAAAAAATCCTATTTCATGTCAACAGAGATCTTCTTGAGCATTTATAATATTGCAGATTTAAGTGCACATAATTGAATTGTCTATGAAGGTGTGAAAAATGCTTAAAATGTCGCATTTGAACATTGATTGGGTTTAATGTAGTACTGGCATCTTGACAACAATGCAGTTTTACTTTATTACTGGTCCAAATGACATAAATAATAGAATACACACACATATGTATGATGGCTCAGAATACTACTTAGCATTCAGTTTTAATTGTTTTGATAAATATTAAAATAAACAGTATATAAGTAATTAGTCAAGGATATCTTGACTCATATATTAGGTTGCTTTTAAGGAATTTATAGTTTGGGTAACATTGGAATAAAAGTATGCAAAAATCATATTTTAACCTCAATATCAATTACTTTCCCTTAATCAATATATATTTCTCAAACTCTGATACGCACTAAGATACATGTTTTTGTTTGTTGTCATTTTACCTTTTAAAATAGGCATATACTTTATATAGATATTCCCATGTTCAGGAATGTATCTGTTTTAAAAGGCCATTGGTCAATTGGGTCTGATTTCATTCCATTAAGGTAATATTTTAAAGTAAGGTTTTCAAGTATGTTCAAGTAGTGGGAGATTGGAAGTAATGATGCTCAACGCAGAGGCATATGGAATAGTGTTACAGTAAAATTAAAGTTATCAAATGTACTTTTGTGATAAAACTTATACCATCTCTATCAGATTATGGTATGAAAATTAGCGGCAGCAGGTGCCAAAATATCAAGTAGAATTTAGGAGAAAACTTAAAATTGAGTTTTAAAAAATCAATAATGTTTCTATTTTATTTCCTACAATATTGGGGGAAACAGAACTATTTACAGCAAAACACTGCCGTTTAACTCTTGAATATTGAAACTTCAAAGGCATCAGCTGACCAACAGGGCACGAATTATAACTAAAATGCAGCTTGCATCCATTTGCCCAGCAACTGCTCTGGTGGGGTGGCAAAGGCCTAGCCTAGGAAAGGCATCTTTTTCTAATAGGCTCATCCCAAAGGGGCTGCCATTTTCTAACTGGTTCATCCCAATGAGGCTGGCTCCCATTCACTATATTCATAATAAATCTCAGTAAGAAGTCAGTTCCATTCAGAAGGGCTTACCCACTGAGAATTTATTGAAGAGACTATCTGTAGCAATAGAAGCAGGGTTAAGGAAACCAACAAGTGATGTTGAGGTCCACCAGACACCAGCAACAGTGGAAAATCATTACTGCTACCTGTTCAAAGGGGAAATCGAGGACATAGTATTACTGGATTGCAGGGAGAGCCAGAATAGTAGAAGAAGAGAATGATATTATGAGCTGTATGAGTCAAGCGAAAAGTCTACTTCCAAGACCAAAGTGGAGGAACAGAGGAGAGGACACAGAAAAAACAAAAAACAAAAAAAAACAAAAAAAAACTCTGATTTTTCTTTTTCCTTCCAGCCACTGTTCTCCAGCTACTGCCTCCTCTTGTCAAACCCAACTTGAAAATAGAAGACAGGGGATCCCAGGTGATGCAGTCTTTGTGGTCCAGGCTCGTGGGGCACAGAGCAGAGAAAGATGGATAACACATCTGTAGAGCTAACAGACAAGAAATGACAATGTGGGATATTACTACCACAATATATGATGATAACAATAATAATGATGAGGGTGATGATAGATTTAGCAATGGCTTAATTTATGCTAGACATTGTTTTCACCACAACTTCATGAGATAGGCACCCTTCATCCTACAAAAATGAAGAAACTGTAGCACAGAGAAGTTAAGTAACTTGTCCAAAGTGACATTCACCCAGTAAGTACTCTTTTGTGGTTGATACACAGTCATATACTTTGGGATGCATGTTACACAGAATAACTCAAAGTTAGGGAACATGACATCCCTTTTCATGGGGAAACACAGCATAGCCTTGGTTCCTGGTGTCTCTCTTTTGATCGGTTCAAGATGGCTGCAAAAGAAATAACATAGGTAGCCCCAAGAAGACTTTACTAAGGATCATTTCCAAGGTACCCTCTGAGAAATTCTAGTCATTATTAAAGACGGGCTTTGATGGTGACCTTATTTTTATCCTGGAGGGTCGTGGTCTGTGCCACAGAGAATCCATAATAGTCCCTGAACCCTGACATACGAGCCTCATAAACTGTTAGTCACGGATCCAGTTAGTGCATATCTTCAGCTTTAATCTCCCTTGTCATCAAGTCTACATCACAATGTTAGGAAGCAATAACTAATATTTATTAAGCATTTATTTACTATTAATACATGTCAGACATTTCACTGTGTATAAATTGGTACTTCACAATAACCATGAAATAGGAGGCCATTTTATAACTGTGGATACTGAGTTTTGACAAGGTTGAAAGATTTACCCACAGAATCCCAGCCAGTAAGTGGTACGGTCAGAATTTCACATGTGTGCTCTCATTCCATAGTTCTTACTCCTTTATGCCTCCCTGCTCTGAGTGTTTGAGTCATGAGTTCTCTGAGTCTGGGAAGCAGATGGAGTTTGCAAGCTGGCTTAGAACTTGGGGTAACCTTGCAGAAAAGCTGCTGAATGAAGGAGATGAAGAAAGAGAGGAGGCAGGATATGGTGGAAGTTTTCTTCTGTGGCCCAAGGAATCCACAATTGGAAGAGATTCTGGAGAAAAAGAGCCAGACCAAAAATGGCCATTTAATTGTAAAAGCTACATGAATTTAGGGGATGCTGTATAGAGCAGGGCAAATACTAAACTGAAAAAGCCACACTGGAATATCTCTTTAAATGGCAAAGTTTGAGAATAAAAATGTTTGCTTAGCATTTTTTACTGCTTTAATTTCAAAATTGGGCATGATTACTATCCTTATCTTTTTAAAATTAGTATAACATACAACAGAGAAGTATACAATCTTAAATGTACACTGATCTTTTTGCATGTGTTTATATTTGGGCATCCACAATACTTGTAATAACAGACATTTGTAGTACCCCACAGGCTCTTTTGTGTGCCTTTCCAGTAAATTTACTCCCACAGGAAATTACTATTCTGATTTCTTTTACCAAAACTTACATTTGCTTGAGATTCATGCAAATGGAATCATAAATGTACTCTTCATGGGTGGCATATTTTGCTCAACATTATATCTCTGAGAACCATCCATATCGTTACATGTAGCAGTGATTCATTCTTTGGATTGCTGTGATCTATTCCTTTGTGAATATGCACAATTTGTTTGTCCACTCTGTTATTAACTTTAGAGTATTTTACATATCAGGAGTATGAACATCCTTGTTTATGTCTAGGTGGATGCGATACCCCATTTTCTTTGGGTAGTTACCTAGATTACAGATTAGCAATATTGTCAACTTTAATAAATACTACCAGTTTTTCAAAATGACTGAAAATTTACATTCCCACCCGCAGCATACAAGAGTTACAATTTCCCTATACTCTTACTAACATCGGAATAATCTCTTTTTATATTTTAGGTATTCTAGTGTAGTGGTACCCCATTGTGGTTTTATTTTACAGTTCCCTGATGAGTAATCATGTTTATCACCTTTTAATATGCTTATTAGCCATTTGTTTATCTTCTTTTATGAGGTGTTTTTCCAAATCATGTGATTTTTTTTTTATTAGGTTGTCTAGTATTTACTATTGATGTATGGGAGTCCTTTACATAATGGCTCCACATCTTTTGTTATGTATATGTATTGCAAATACATTTTTTTTTTCTTTGAGGTGGAGTCTTGCTCTTGTTGCCCAGGCTGGAGTGCAATGGCACGATCTTGGCTCACTGCAACCTCCACCTCCCGGGTTCAAGCAATTCTCCTGCCTCAGCCTCCTGAGTAGCTGGGATTACAGGTACGCACCATCACGCATAGCTAATTTTGTATTTTTAGTAGAAACAGGGTTTCTCCATGTTGGTCAGGCTGGTCTCAAACTCCTGACCTCAGGTGATCCGCCCATCTTGGCCTCCCAAAGTGCTGGGATTACAGGCATGAGCCACCGTGCCAGGTCTGCAAATACTTTCTCCCAGCTTGTGATTTGCCTTTTCAGTTTTCTAAGGTTGTATTTTAATTATTAGAAGTTCTTAATTTTTAATGAAATACCATCTTTCAATCTTTGTATCAGGTTATACTGGACTCATAAAATGAATTAGAAAGTGAGCTCTGTTTTTTCTTCTCTGGGAAAATTTATGTAAGATTGATATTGTTCTTTACTAATGCATGAAAAAAAATCACCAGCAAACTCATCTAAACTTGTAATTCTCTTTGTCAAAAGGTTTTAATTGCAGATTCAATATATTTAACACTATAGAATGCTTCACATTTTTTCATTTATTTCCATTCTTCTATTTCTGTTTTGCTGTTTTCAAGGGATTTTTCACACTATCTAAATGAATTGACATAACGTTGTTTAAAACATCCTCCTATGATTTTAGTGTCTGTAGGATCTATAATGATGCCCCATTTTATTTCTAGTAAAGTCACTCAAGTTTTATCTTTTAAAAAAATCACTATTGCCACAGGTTAACTAATTTTATTAGTATCTTTTTAAAGCTATTTTTGTTTATTTTTACTGTCTTTATTGTTGGTAAACTTCTAATTTTCATTGATTTCTTATCTCCATTTACCTCTTTAGTTTGGTTTAATGTTCTTTTTCCAATATACTGAAAGAAGCTTAGATTACTGATTTTCAACCTTGTGATTTTTCTAATATATGCATTTAGTGCTATAAATTCCACTTTAAGGACTTCTCCTACATCATGTAGTTTTTGAAGTCATATTATTTTTTTTCACTTAAAAATATGTTCTAATCCTGGCTAACACGGTGAAACCTCATCTCTATTAAAAATACAAAAAAAATTAGCTGGGTGTGGTGGCAGGCACTGGTAGTCCCAGCTACTCAAGAGGCTGAGGCAGGAGAATGGCATGAACCTGGGAGGTGGAGTTTGCAGTGAGCCAAGATCACTGGAGTGCACCACTGCACTCCAGCCTGAGTAACAGAGTGAGACTCTGTCTCAAAAAAAAAAAAAAAGTTCTACTTTATTTGATTTCCTCTTTGATTTTTTTGTTATTAATATGTATATTATTTAATTTTCAAGCATTATTTATATTCTGGTGCTAATTTCTAGTTTAATTCCACTGTGATCAGTGAAAAACATTTATATGATTGAATCCTTTGAAATATGTTTAAGAGTGACTTTGGCTCAGAATATGTTCTAATTGGTAAATGTTCCATGAACCCATTAAAAAATAGTATATTATTCAGTAGTTTGGTGAAGTGTTCTCTACATGTTGATAAGATTCATTCCTTTAATACTCTCATAAAAATAATCTATATCGGAACAGTCCAATAGAAATATAATGTGAGCCACATACGTAATTTTAAAATATTAGTGGCAATATTTAAAAAGGTAAAATTAAAAAAGAAATTGATTTTAATAATATATTATATTTGAAACAATATATTCAAAATACTATTTCAATATTTAATCAATTTTAAGTTTTTAAGAAATATGTTACTTTTCCTCTCCTGTCTTTAAAATCCAGCATGTGTTTTACACTGACAGTACACCTCACTTAAAATCCTAACTTTTTATCTGAACTATTTGATTTATATTGAGTCATAAAATTACAGTTGAAAAAGTAGATTCATATACCCAAGATGTTCAAAATATACTTAAACACTTTCCAGTAACTGAATTAATACTAAGAATCATTTTCCTTTAATAATCTCACTCACGTTTACAGCATTTGAGGTTTTTTCTATAAAAATTGACTTGACTTTTAAGCAAAAGAATATTAGTTTCAAAATTGTGTTTTCCAAGTTAAGTTTACTAAATCTGTGTCAATACAATATTCTTAATATTTAATTCAAAGAGTATTGCGTAAATTGAGTGATTATTCTAAATTTATGAATTTCAAAAATAATTCTTTGAATTTTGCTTAAAGATTTTGAAGCCAGTTTACATAATGTCATTGATAACAATTAAAATATTCTTTATGTTGATTTATGCTAAAATATATGAAATAATTATTGCTCATTTGTATGATGAAAAGTTTTAATTTCAACATATATTTTTGCTTTTGTCTAGTTAGGTCAGAAATTATGTTTTCCTTTCCTTGGAACTTCAAATTTAGCTCATTGAAGTGCGGTATAATATTAGTGAGAAAACATAAGTTACTGTCATTTTTTTCTTTGACTATTAAATATTTAGCAAGCATTTCTTTTGCCTTAAGGAAATACAGAATTAGATTCAAAACTATAGCAAATTCATTTAAAACTTTTCCACCATTTAACAAGTGAGCATTAGAAAAAAATCCAAGATTATTAGATTAATTGTCTTATTTCTTACAACAGTTCTACAAATTGCAAATTGGTGATCCATAACATTTGTACATATATACTAAATGATTTTAATAGTAATATCCATGACACTTTTGATAGTTTGCTTCAAAAACTGGAGTACAGATATTTTCAGTATGAGTCATGCAGTAGAATGAAGCAATTGGAGAAATGTCAGGCCCACATTAAATATTAGTAAATCTTTATTTTTGACCTAACATAGCTGGAACATTGACCACTGTGATAGAACTAATTTTTTTATATCTATCTGAAATCATTCTTTGAAAAATATAAAAGTTCCAAAAATATTAATTACGGGAGTTTAATTTTTTAGAATGCAAATTGATATTTCTTTCTAAAAATATTTAAATATTTTGAGACAAAGCATAGCCAAAGTGTTAAATGGGCAGTATTTTATATTATACAACTCATCTAAAGCTTAACAATAAACTTGAAATGTTTAAAATTTTGAATCAATTGATCATTGCTATTGTTAGAAACATCTTGTATTCTCCAGGTAATTTTTTGGTAGCTTAATTGAAGATCTTTCCACTTTTGTAAAATAATTCTTTGAGTATTTTTCTTTTAACATTGTAACCAAATTTACATAAGTGAAATAGTAATTTCTTTTGCCATCTCTTCATCACAAAATCGTTTTCTTTGGGTATGTGTGTTCAAAAGTATAGGCTTCCTTATAGGGGACCAAGAAAATAAGCTCAGATTCTGTTAAAAATATTTCTTAAAGGTTGGGTGCGGTGGCTCACACCTGTAACCCCAACACTTTGGGAGGCCAAGATGAGTGGATCGATTGAGGTCAGGAGTTCGAGACCAGCCTGACCAACATGATGAAACCCCATCTCTACTGAAAAATTACAAAATTAGCCAAGCATGGTGGCAGACACCTGTAATCCCAGCTATTTGGTAGGCTGAGGCAGGAGAATCACTTGAACCCAAGAGGCAGAAGTTTCAGTGAGCTGAGATCACGCCATTGCACTCCAGCCTGGGCAGTAAGAGCAAAACTCTGTCTCAATGATGAATTAATGGGTGCAGCACACCAACATGGCACACGTATACATATGTAACAAACCTGCACGTTGTGCACATGTACCCTAGAACAAAGTATAATTTTTTAAAAAATTCTTAAAAATGTTTTAGACATTTGCTTCTAATTTCAAGTGATTTACTTGTAACACAATGTCTTCTTTAAAGACATTTATTTCTAATTTCAAGTAGTTAAGTGAACTTAAAGTACATTATTAGTGGTTTCACTAAGAATGCAAGAAAATTATAACACTTTAAATTCATTTAACTCCTTTTCATCTTTTGCACTAATGTTGCATACAGTTTACATTGACACAGGTTTTTAATTATGTATTGTAATTATAATCAATATTTATTTACATTTATTTTTCAGGGGTACTCTTTGTTCTTTTCTGCTTTATATTCTCCAGTTTTCCTTGTCTGAAACTGTCTTTATCTCACCTTCCTTTTTAAGGATATTTTGACTAGCTATAAAATTATAGGTTAAGTTTTTCATTAAACACTTTAAATATATTGCTACTATTTTTTATATTCCCTGGGCTATTTTTTGTTTGTTTGTTTGACAAGTGAGCAACATCCTTACTGCTGTCTCCCTAAAGGCGATGTGTTTTATTTTCTGAGACTGCTTTTACATTGTTCTCCTTGTTTTATTGTCTTCCATTTGAACTTAATGTGACTAGATGTGATTTTCTTTGAATTCATTTGACTTGGCCTTCTTAAACCTGTAAGTTGATGTCTTTTAAGCTATTTGGGAAATTTGTTTAGATAATGCTTTTATCCCATTAATTTTCTTCTATTCTCCTAGGATTCCAATGACAGATTTGCTACTTCTTTTCAAAAATTCCCATGTGCCTTTCAAAATCTTTTCTATGTTTTACATGTCTTTTTCTGAGTGTGTCAGTATGAAAACTTCCTACTGACCTATCTTTCAGATAACAAATATTTTTCTATTGTTTTCATACTGCTGTTAATCTCATCTCTTGAAATTTTAATTTTAGTTACTTTAAGTTTTATTTATAGAATTTGTTTTGCTTTTCTATGGATTCTAGTTCTCTGCTGAAATTTTTTCTCTTCTGTTATATTGAATATATGAATCATAATTATCAAACATACCTGTCTGAAAACTCCAGTAAGTAAATCTTTTCTGGGTCTGCTTCTATCATTTGTAATTTCTCTTAGTTTCAAGTGCATTGTTTCTGTTTTATATCTTGCTTTGTATTTCTAATTGAATGCCACATTGTGTATATAAACTTGGGGAAACTGTAACTGTTGTTTTATTCCTGAAAAAAAAACTATTTTTATTTTGGAAGACAGATAGAATATTAGCAGATCATTTTAATCCTGTCAAGAGTATGGCCCTTCTGAGGTCACAACTATAAGCCCTGGTTGTTTTTTTTTTAAGCCTCCCATAACTTATGAAACTTAAACTGCAATCTCTGGTTCTACAGCACAAAGCAGATGGTAAAATATTTGCTCAGCTATTTATCCTTCAACTTGATGCATTCTACTGGGTTTTTTGTAGTCGTATGCTGTATTTGAGTAGTTTAAAAGTCAAGACTAGAAGAAAATTCACACGCAGATTTTGTTGTTTCTTCCTCTGTGCCTTTCTCCTTTCTGCAAGTTTTGCCTTTCAATTTCTGGCCGCCCTGACAGTCTTGATCTCCTGTTTATGTCTCAATCAAGAAAAACTGTTCCCATTGCACAGAACTCATAGCATGGAAAACTAGAAAGTACCCTCAAAGAAAGCTGTGAAAATGTGGATCTCATTCTTTTAAGGATGTACGCCTTTCAGTTTTTGCCATCTCTCATGGCTCTCCAGTGCCTTCAGATTTTTTAAGTTGGATCTGTCCAGCTCTTATAATTATTATTGGCAGAAGACTTCATTCCACATCAGCTACTCTGTCATGATATGCACCAGACTCTATTTCCTTGTCCATAAAAAGAGCTACCCAGTGATGCCTTGGACTTCCTTTTTTCCTTGAACATTTTGCTTTTATCTTTTTCCTAGGTTTCCAGTACAAGATTTATTAAGTTTTATTTTTGTTTCATTTATCAATTATAAATCCAGGGAAAGACCTAAGCAGTGTCATTGGTAATATGAAGTCTGGACAATATGACACTGTCTGGAAATGTTTTAATAGTTGTGAACATGTGTTATAAATTAAAAATATCTAGGATTTACCTCTCTTGTCACTCCTGTTCAACATGGTATTGTAAGCCCTGGCTAAAGCAATCAGGCAAGAGAATGAAATAAGGGACACCCAAATAGGAAAAAAGAAATTCAAACTATCCCTGTTTGCAGGCAACATGACTGTATTTCTAGAAAACCCAATAGTCTCATCCCAAAAGCACCTTCAGCTGATAAACAACTTTGGCAAACTTTCAGGATACAAAATCAATGTATAAAAATTACTAGCATTTACATACATCAGCAACAGTCAAACTGAGAACTGAATCAGGAACACAATCCAATTCACAACTGCCACAAAGAAAATAAAATACCTACAAATACAGCTAACCAGGGAGGTGAAATATCTCTACAAGAAGAATTACAAAACACTGCTCAAAGAAATTAGAGGTGAAACACACAAATGGAAAAACATTCCATGCTCATGGCTAGGAAGAATTAAAATCATTAAAAACAGTCATACTGCCCAAAGAAATTTACAGATTCAATTCTATTCCTATCATACGACCAATAATATTCTCCATAGAACTAGAGAAAACTATTAAAATTCATATGGAACTGAAAAAGAGCCCAAATAGCCAAAGAAATGCTAAGCAAAAAGAATAAAGCTGGAGGCATCACATTACCCAATTTCAAACTACGCTGCAGAGCTACAGTAACCAAACAGCACAGTACTCATACAAAAACAGACATATAGACTAATGGAACAGAATCTATTTCAAACACAGAAATAAGGCTGCACACATATGGCCATCTGATCTCCAACATGCAACCATTTGATCTCCAATGAAGCTGACAAAAACAAGCTATGGGGAAAGGACTTCCTATTCTATACATGGTACTGGGTTTAACTGGCTAGCCATATGCAGAAGATTGAAACTGGACTCCTTCATTACACCATAAAAAAATCAACTCAAGATGGACTAAAGACTTAAATGTAAAACCCAAAGTTACGAAAGTCATGGAAGACAACCTAGGCAATACCATTCTGGTCATAAAAACAGGCAAAAGTTTTGTGACGAAGCCACCAAAAGCCATTGCAACAAAAAAAAAATTGACAAGTGGGACCTAATTAAACTCAAGAGCTTCTACATAGCAAAAGAAACTATCAACAGAGTAGACAGGCAACTTACAAAATGGGAGAAAATATTTGCAAACTATGCATCTGACGAAGGTCCAATATCTAACATCTATAAGGGATGTAAACAAATTTACAAGAAGAAAAAATCTTATTAAAAAGTGGGGAAAGGACATGAACAGACACTTTTCAAAAGAAGACTTACATGTAGCCAGCAAGCTTATGAAAAAAAAATCAATGTCACTGATCATTAGAAAAATGCAAATCGAAGCTGCAATTGGATACCATCTCACACTCGTCAGAATGGCTATTATTAAAAAGTAAAAAAATAAATAAATAAATAACAGATGCTGACAAGGTTACAGAGAAAAGGTAACGCTTACACACTGTTAGTGAGAGTGTAAGTTAGTTGAACTATTGTGGAAAACAGTGTAACAATTCCTCAGAGAGCTAAAACAGAATTACCATTGGACCCAGCAATCCCATTACTGGATATAAACTCAAAGGGCTGTAAATCATTTTACCATAAAGACACATGCATGCAAATGTTTATTGCAGCACTCTTCACAAAAGGATAAACATGGAATCAACCTTAATACCCGTCAAAGATTGGTGAAAGAAAATGTGGTACATATACACCATGGAATATTATACAGCCATAAAAAAGAATGAAATCCTGTCTTTTGCAGGAACATATGTGGAACTGGAGGCCATTACCCTCAGCAAAACAACGCAGGAGAAAAAAACGAAATACCACATGTTCTCGCTTACAAGTGGTAGCTACATGATGAGAACTCATGGACACAAAGAGAGGAGCAACAGACACTAGGGCCTACTTGAGGGAGGAGTTAGGAGGAAGGAGAGGATAAAAAAAAGTAACTATTGGGTACTAGGATTAGTACCAGGGTGATTAAATAATCTATACTATAACCCTCCATGACACAAGTTTACCTACATAACCTGCACATGTATCCCTGAACCTAAAATAAAAGTTAAAAAAATAGCATTTAAAAAAATAAATGTTTTGAATTTAGGTCAGAGATGTCACTGTAAGTTTCATTTGTCTTCTATTTCCTGACAGTGCACCTGCTGCATTTCATGAGGTACAACTTGTTATAGTAGACAGGAGGAAGTTGAACTAGTTATGGGCTTGTAGAATGTAGAGAGACTTAAGTAAAAAGTTTTACTGGGAAAAAACAAAACTGTCATTACACAAGAAGGCAAAAGAAATATTCTGTAGAATCTATAAAAAGATTAAAATTAATATGTGATTTTAGCAAGGTCCCTAAATTTAAGGTGGCTATATTTTAAAATGAAAAATAAAATTTAATAAATAGTACTCTTTACAATAGTACCTGAAGCATCAGTTATATAGGAATAAATATAATAAAAGATGTGCAAAACCTCTACACACAGTCTGTTAAACGATTTTTAAAAAATTAAAGGTCTAAATAAACAGAGAGATATATTGTATTCAAGTAATTGAAGACTCAAATTGTAAACTTGTCAATTTTACACAAAGTTTAATGGCAATCACAAATAAAACTTTGGCATCATTTAAAATAATATGATCAAGCTGATTCTGAAACTTAAATGAAAATATGAAGGGGCAACTATAGACAAGGAATCCTGAATAATAAAACTAAAGGATTTATACTATGAGTAATCAAGACTTATTCTAAACCATAACAATCAAGACAAGGTGGTGTCAGTGCAATGATAAACAAATAGACCAATAGAACAAACCAGAGAATCCAAAACCAGACCTACAGTTAGACTATTACCTGATTTATGACAAAGTGGGCCTGTCCTACAATGTAAAAAGATGATCTTTTCACAAAATTGTGCTGGATCAACTGTATAAATATTTTTAAAACTGTAGATTGACCCATACATCATACTTTACACAAAAATTATTCAAGATTTACTGCAAATCTAAATGTAACAGGTAAAATAATAAAGCTTTCTGAATAAACATAGGAAAACATTTGTATGACCTTGGTGTACACAACATTTTTAAAAACAAGACAAATAACCATGAGGGAAAAATATAAATGATAATGATAATAGCCCCTGTCAACAACTCACTATTAAGAGAGTGAAAAGACAACCAGCAGAGTTGGAGAAGTTGTTTGCAAAACATGTACCTATTGAGAGAATCATATCCAGAATCCATAAAGAACTCTTGCAAATCAATACAGAAAATATAAACAACCCAATAGAAAAATGGGCAAAAGGTTTGAACCGGCTCTCCACAAAAGAGAATATCTAAATGGTCAATGAACATTTGAAAATATACTCAAAAGAATTACTCAGCATTCAAAAGGGCATTGAGATTATACACCCCCACAAAATAGTTTAAATGATTGTATATGAGTATGAAAATAAAAAGACAGAGAATATTGAGAAAATACCAATTAGAGCATTCATACAGTGAGTGGGAGTGGAAATTAAAAAACCTCCTTTGGAAAACTGCTTGTTGGTATCAGCTAAAGTAGAACATAGGTATGCCCATGATCTGGTTATTCCATGCCTACATGCATACTCAGAAGTATTATGCTCATATGTCCCCCAAAAGAAATGTGCAACTATTAGGTTAGTGCAAAAGTAATCATGGTTTTTGCCATTACTTTTAATGTCATTACTTTTAATGGCAAAAACTGCAATACGTTTGCACCAACCACCTAATAATACATTCTTAATAATGCCAACTGTAATAGCACAAAACAAGAGGCTATCCAAATGGCCATTAAGAGAAGAATGGATAAATACATTTTGTTATAGTCACACAGTGGAATAGATTATAACAATAACAAGGGAAAACTACAACTATGTTCATGTGGACATTTGAGTAAATTTCACAAACATAATAATGTTCAAAAGAACACAAAATGGAAGCAAATGGTATATACTGTATAATTTCATTTATATAAATATCAAAAGCAAGGAAAACCAATCTATGTTGTTAGAAGATAAGATATTCTACTTCCCAAAACTAATAAATGTAG